TATTGCAAAATAATTTTTTTATGTGTTTCACACCGTGTGTAAAATCAGTTGTGTAACATCGACGGTTCCTCCTGTTGTGTGATCCATAAAGCTAATTTTATTAACGTATGCGTCTATTTAATTCTCTGAGTCGGAATTTTAAAAATAAAAGTAGGATCTTTCAAGCTCCTTTATTTTCGAAATTAATTAATTCTGAAATCCCTTAATAATGACAGCATATGTTATATGCTCGATTCAAAAATTTTCTATTTTACTCTGTTTTTGGTCATTATTTTATGGGGAAAGCGATAAATTGAAAATAAGATCGATCCAACGTAATTGTAGGTTACTGACAAATGGGAAAAATTATTAACCAACCCAAATGTGAAAAGCAATGGAAAGAGTTAGAAACCATCGACAAGACTTTTTACTAACAAAATAAAGAACAACTATATAAAAGATTCTTTTCAGATATGATGAGGAAGTTGAATATAATACGTACTTTTATGTCATTATTAGCTATATACTTAAAGATTAGTATAATTTTGGTGTTTACTAACTGCTAATATCATTTTATTATTATCCTTGAAATTCCTCCTGTTTTAATAAAACTTTGGCTTTTTCCATATAATTTAATATAAGTTCCTGGCAATACAAACTAGAAATGAACTGAATCGCAATATTTTTCTTTAACCATAATATTATCCCATAAAAACCATGTATATACTTCTGAATTTCTTTTTCGTTAACTATCGTCTTTGAATTTATGATACAAAATAATTATACCCACACGATAGTTACAACTTATGTAAGAAAATTATATTAATGCATAAATATTGATCAAATATTTTTCCATTGATCAAATGACCCAAAACGAAAAACAATCATCATATACATACTATCAAATTTCTTTATAATTGTTCTAATATGTGTGCTACGTAAATACATAACTTCGTACAGTACAACCTATTCCGTATATCCCAGGAATAATAGTATTAAATTGAATTATTAACCATTGTTGATTAATTTTTCAAAATGTTCAGAATACTAACATGAGGAAAATCAGGAAAATAATATTCTGTATAGCAGTAATATAAAAGCAAATGAAGTTAAATCAACCATAAATCATTAGGAAATTAGATTGCCAGTTAAGAGGTATGTGATGACTAATAAAAGTACATTAATTGGTCATATGTCGTGTTATAAGGACATTTGCTTTGCTAAGTATCTTCCGTTTTTTATCGTTTTTCAAATCAATGCCTATAAGCGGGAAAGCACACATTTGCACAACCTCATCTTGACAATTATCGGGATCAAATGCACCTTCCATCAAATCAGGATTTACTCGAGCATTACAATCAAACCAGGCGGGTGGGTCGGCTATTTGTTCTTGAGCCTTTAAGTCGAAAAAGAATATTCTAATAATGTCAAGAGAAAGTTTCGCTGCCATGTCTTTAAAAATCTTCTCTTTGTTAGGATCTTTTACAATTCGAAAATCGCTCATCGTTGCAATTAATAGTTCTTGGAGTTCACTAATAAATGGATGTTTTGCAGTGCCTTTAGGTGATACAATTGAGGTGAACCCACTGTTACTTAAAACATTATAGATTTGTTGTCTAAATCGTACTGGTAAATTTTGAGTAATGTTATCATTACCTTTACGAGACTTAGCAAAACTATCCATATTATTTAACAGAGTTTTCGTGTTTTCACCGATTTTTTGTTCGAGTTCTGAATGGTTGAGTCTTGAAAAATATTGATTAATATGATTAATCGTTGACTTAAGGATAAATTTCTGTAATGCAGCATGAAGTAATAATTTGTAATGTCCGTCGTCTACAGGTTTTGTACAATTATATAACTTTAAAAGCCTGTCTGCGTTATCTCTAATAATATGAAATTCTTTAATGGGTTTAACAACAGAGAAGGTTTCAAGATTTTTTTTCAAAGTCTTAATATCTTCTCTAAGTTGACAGGAATTGTTAAAATCATTGCTTAATCGAACATTCATTGTTCTACCCAATTCAGCTTGATATTTTGATGCTTCACGTGTTAAACGTTCAATAGTTTTTAGTGCCTCTCTTTTATATTTTTCGAGTTGATTCTCGAGTTCTTTATTCTTATTTTGCATTTCATTTATCTGTTTTTGGAGTTTCTGATTCTTACTTTGCATTTCATTTATCTGTTTTTCGAGCACCTTATTTTTACGTCGCATTTCATATGCCTGTTCTTCAAATTCCTTATTCTTGCGCTGCATTTCATCTGTCTGCTCTTTATTTCGAAGTGGCAGCACAGTAGTAATCTCTTTTATTGTGTTATCTGTATTCCTATGTAGTATTCCCATGATTTTATTAATTAAATCATCATTATCGCATATATGAGCCTTTTCCCTCTGTGCTGACGGCAACGAATTTTGCGTTTGCATATTAACATCATCTTTATGGTGCAACATCCTTTGTAGTTGCATGTTAACTTCATCATTACAGTGCAACGTTCTTTGCGTTTGCATATTAATCATACCGCCTTTATCGAGTGCATGAGTATCTTCTTTCTGCGCCGACGGTAACTTTTTTTGCGATTGCTTTAGGCAAAATAAAAAATAAATAAATAAATAAATAAATTAAGAGTTTAAAGTGCTAAGGGCAGAAACATCTTCATTTAATGATTACATTCGAAAATCCAAACATAGTAAACATTAAGAATCCACAAATTGTAATTTTCTAACAAATGAGCATAAAGATGTGTACTCTTTTTTACTCTTTTGTTTTGGATTTTTGGCGATTTATTTATGTGTTATAAGAATGAATGTATTATTGATTATCGTTATGAAATGAACGAATTATCTTTAATAAGATTAGCGCCAGATTAAAATTTTTATTCAAAATGTAATCATGTATCAATTATCAATTATCAATACCATGACTATTTTAAAAATCACTTGAGTGTAAATTGACTTTTGAAAAATTCTAATTAATGAATCAAAGGAATATATTAGACTCTAGCGAACTGTATTTTTCAGTAACGATAGACTATTGACCAGAGTTTAATTTTAATTTTAATCAAATAGACATTTTATTGCAAGATTCTCGGATGCAAGTATAAATATCACAAGAAAAGATAAAAAAAAAAAAAGAAATAATTCATTAATTATTGATTCATTCAAGTAATAGATTATCATCTACATTAATATGTCAGGTTTTTTTTTGATAAACGACATTCGAGTAGTAATTTCCATAGGTAATTTGGCTTTTTTTTTTTTTTGGGTCTGTATGCTGTATTGGTCAATAATTAATAATTGCTATCTTGAAAAAATTCAATAGATTTTGGAACTACATTTTCCGTAAGGAAATTCCTATTGATTTATTTTTTTTATAAACCATGAAATATTAAACTTTTTTTTTTTCTATTAGGGTTTTACATACGCAAATGTATTTGATAATGAAAAAAATGTTCAGAATGACGATATGAATTTTGATTATTATACATATAATTTATGGGTAAGAATAACTATTAATCTTTCATTAATTTTGTTAATAAATTTGCAATGGTTTAAGATTGATTAGTCAGACATTTTAAATATGTATGTAGGACGGAAATGCTTACGGAAAATTCAAAACTAACACTGTGCTTAGATACGATAATGAATACAAAAAAGTTTTAGCGTGGGGTGCTCTAGGTTTGGCAAAGAATCCAGGCCGGAAAAAAGGCGAGAATGTATCAAAACCTATAGAACTATTTAAACTTTCTTTGGGAAACTTGGCTGAAGATCTAAAACCAGAACTCCCACCAGAACTTCACCTACAAAAAGAACAGAGGCATATAAGAGCCATTACTGATTATCTACAAAAAATGGGTATATTGTTTCCTTTATTTATCGCGCAAAATGAAGCATCTTTGATCAAATTTTGCTCACCTACAATCATAATTGTTTGAGATAAAGTGATTCTCTTCATCGAAAATTCAAATACAAATAAAATGTTTTTATAATTTATAACTTTCTATGACCATATCTTTAAAATAGCACCCATATTTTCAAAAAAAAAACAACTTCTCACAATCGTATAATTGGGCAACAATCAAGTGATTATATATGAGAGCTGCGACCTGCAAAATTTAATCAAAGATATATCAGTTTGCAAACAGCGATAAACGCTATTTTACCACCCATTAGTGTTATTAACATTAGATTTTATATTAATATTAGGGGAGGTAAAAAATGTTCGTGTAATTCTTAAAGCAAATTGCATGAATTTCTAATAACTTTTATGACAGGTGATCAAAGAAAGGGTTACAAAACATTGGCCAGACATTAATTTTTCCGAAAATATTCGACTAATTCTTACCGTTCCTGCCGAATATTCTTATCAAGCAAAAAAAGTTATGCGCGAATGCGCATTCAAAGCAAATCTAATTACCAAAATTGATTCAGATAGATTACAATTTACTACAGAACGTAAGCTTTTCTATGTACTAATTAATCACAGAGCTGTAAATCTAATGTGCCATTTTTACGTAGCCGAAGCTGCTGCTATATACTGTATCACAAAAAGGAGTTTAAGAGACAGTTTTCTCAATGACTCCGAAAGTAAGTATTATATTATGATTAATAGAATTTTAAAATTTTGTAAGATTACTCAATTTTCTTTGTTATAATTAGCTACTTTCTTGATTGTTGACTGTGGAGGTGGAACAGTTGACTTGACTACCCGTAAATTATTGAACAATTGTGAATTAGGCGAAGTTACGGGTAAATTTCGAATAATCAGTGGGACAATTCGGTTTCAAAATCTTGTTCAATTATAACAAGTGTTTTGTTTTATTTAGAACGCGCCGGAGATTTTTGTGGATCTACGTTTGTTGATAAAGAATTTTTGAAATTTCTTGGTAAAATTGTCGGCGAAGGTGCGATAAAGTTGCTCCGTGAAAAACATTATGGGTAAAAAGAGATTAAATTTTTATTTATTTTTATAATTATCTCACCTATCTCACATTGTATTTAACGTATTTTACACAGCGAAATGCAATATATGATTCAAGAATTTTGCAATAATATTAAAATTCCATACACTGGAGATGACAATTTTACCTATGACTTTGATCTCGATGTAAAGTATAACTTTTTCAATTTCATCTTATATATACATATACATATAGTGTATATGTTATTTAATATTTAAAATATTGTATTGCCTAGAGAATCTGCCCAGTATTAAAGCAATATGTCGTAGGAGAGGCAAAGACATCACTTGAAGAGAATGAGTGGATTATCGAAATTGATAACAATAATGTAAAAGAAATGTTTGACCCTATCGTTGAGAGGATTATCCGACTTATACAAGTACAACTTGAAAATTCTCGTGCATGTTCGGCACTATTTATGGTTGGAGGATTTAGCGGTAATCTTTTTACCGAGACAGCTAATTTCATTTGTCTATTTGATTACTATCTAATTTTTCTTTTTTTTTAGAGTCCAAATATTTGCAAAATAGAGTCCAGAATGAATTTAAAGACAAAGTTGCACATATATTAATACCCCCAGAACCTACTGCAGCAATAGTCCGTGGCGCTGTTATATATGGTCTACGTATGAACCCGTCATTCTGCAATATACAAGATCCCTCTATTAAACCAATAATTAAGAATCGTGTTCTTAAATATACATATGGTGTTGAAGTGGGCATTATTAGAAGATTTTCTACTTTAGCTAAAAGAGGGTAAGTACAAAGGTATAATATTTATTTACAACCGTTCGCTTTATGCACTTTCTTATACATATTGTAATATATAGAACAACTACAGAAGTTAATCAGAAATTCGATGGTACATTCATTCCACTTTTTCCATATCAATCAGCCATAAAATTTAAAATTTTTATAACTCAAAAGTATGAAGTAGAATGTTGTCATGAAGAAGGTGTTGAATTTCTTGGAGAGTTGTTAGTTGATCTTCCAGATATAGATCTTGGTCTTGATAGAAAGGTCAAATTTTCTCTTTGTTTTGGTGATGAAGAAATTAAGGCTTCTGCTATAAATTCGCTTAATGGGCAGAACTATCATACTGTCTTTAATTTAGATACAGAATCTTAAACTTTATACAAACATATCGAATTAGCTATATATTATAATTTTTGTTTTATAAAATTTATCAAATTTATATAATTATTTCTCGATGCATAAATGCATGTTCAGGAACATTTTGAACATATTAATCAAAATATTCAGATTATAGAAATAATTTATAAATTTAATAACTTTTGTAAATTAAAGGATTCTTTCAAAAAATTAAATTATACTTTATTATATCTATTTTCCAATTGAGGTCTTTCTTAAAATAAGTAACTTCATTTGATACTTCATGCACTTTACTTAAGCCATTTGTTAAATTGACCGTATATAGTGGTATTAATATGGGTGTGTTAATAAAAACCAAGCAAAATTTTTTAGCAAGTTTTTTTTTTAAATAACAAAGACTTAATCAAATTTAATGAATTTTTTTTTAAACTAATTCTATAAGTTTACAAAATTGATTTGAAAAATGTTTATCAAATTTAATTAAATTTTTGTTAAGTCATTTTTGTTCACAATTTTAAAAAAAAAATTTATAAAAAATTTGCTTGATTTCTATTGACTTACGTCCATCTGAAATAGCTCTTTCAATCCACCATTCTTCCGAAGTGCTTATTAAAAACTTACTATTCACTAAGAATATGCGCGTATATGTACTTTATTCTGCATATATAATTTCACCAATTGGACATCGCGCTGGAAATATAAAGCCAAAAAAAAAAAGAAAAATAAAAAAACGCTCATCTATTCGAAATTAGAGATTTATGTGGGCATCAAATGAATGACCAATGTTAAAATTTACTCGTTACATATAAAATCACATTCCAGGCATTTAATTAGTGATCGTTTATGCGTCATTACGAACATTTTTTTTATTAGCCAATTTTATTACCTTATCTCGATATTACAGTTTTCACAGCTAGAGTTTATTACTTAAGGCTACGCAAAGCTGATTTGTCGTTTTGCATTACATGGAATCTGAAAATTGGGTCGTTCGGTCGGTTGGTTTTTTTTTTAAAAAATCTACTTTAAATTAATAGAATCATGTTCACATTTAAGGTTACGCAAAGTTAATCTTTCTTTTTACATATACAAGGAACCAGGAAATTTGGTTGGCAGTCGTTTTTTCTGTCGGTCCAATTGGATAATTACGAGAAAGTAAGGTCTCCATCAGGTAATACCGAATAAAAATGACAAAAAAAATAATAACAAAAATCGAATAATTGGCACATTAGAAAAAAAATTAGAAAAATGGGTCGGTCGGGTAATGTAAAACGAAATCAACTTTGCGTCGCATTCTCATTGACTGAGATAAGAATTCTTTTCAGTGGGGAATAAATGAAATTCATTATAATAAATATAATATCCACACTTTATTTAATTTCTATCTGATATTGACTTCTGACATTTAACATTCATTCCGCATGACTTGCGCATGCATATGTGTTGCTTTCCCAACACAGGTTTCAGCAGTGTCATTTTTTGAATTTTGACTTTTTTTACCTTTCGCAACACATTAGAATTTGTGCCTTGTTGATCCGAAATGGTTAAATAATTACGTATGCGTCCGAAAAGTGTTACTCAAAGTTTATTAATCAAAAAAAAAAAACATTACGGCCAGAGTTGTCATTGGACAATGTCCAAATAAATTCAGTTGGACTTTGGACATTTGTATATAGTCCAAATGTCCAAATAATTTTTGGATCATTAGACATTGACAATGTCCAAAAAATTATAAAAATAATTAAACACATATCCAATTGTCCAATAATTTTATTGGATAGCAATTTATAAGAATCTAACAATCTGC